TGTCTATCTATCTACAGTAGCGTGTTCATTATCTATCTATATATCTATCTATCTATCTCAGTCCGTTCATATATATATATATATATATATATATATATATATATATCGAAGCGTATTAATATCTAAATCTATGTTCATAACCCTCTTTCTCTCTCTTTCTCACTCTCTTTCGCTCTGTCTGTCTGTCTGTCTCTCTCTGTATATATATATATATATATATATATATATATATATATATATACATCATCTTCATTATGATGGTTCAACTTTATTATTCTCTTATTATTGCGTCAGTATCTCATTTTAATTTGGGATCTCTGAGTGACGAATATTACCGGGTAATCGGACTAAGAAAGAGCTTCTGTCTCGTTGTATACTGTTCCTCTCGTATCGTCTTAGTGTCTATCACTTCCAGTAACCCCTCTTATATCGTAGTGGGTTCATTGCCCTGCCATGGATGATGGAATTTTAATAGTTTGGTTTTCATTGCATTGAATGTGGCTAGTCGAAGTTTCCCCAACTAAAATGTTAGAGCTAGCTCAAAAGTGAAATCAGATCGGATCATCTAGAGTGCTGATCCTGTGGGTTGGTGTCAGAATTCGTCCAGCTCAAGCATTCATGACGCACATAAATCTACCAATCGTCAGTTCATCCAATATTGCTGACATATCTGGTCTAATGCTTTTGTTATGTATCTAGATATTCTCGACATAATCCCACGTAATGTTATAGATGCAAACATGGCATCTGGACTTCAGTCATATCCCACTGCCGTAAAGAGTCTTCATTCTGTATTTTCTATAAATATGTCCATGGCAATTGTTATAATGCGTTCTCCTTTCAACCCTCGACTGCATGAATTCAAGCTTACTACTAGATTGGCAATTAGATCTCATCGTTATACTGCTGAAATAGCTAGACATAATCGTATGTTCTATTCTAATAGTAACATTTCTCGCACTTTTCACATGTGGAACTTTCTTCAAGTTTCTTGTTTTCCTGTCAGCTACTATCTTGAAAAATGTAGATGCAACATTCACCACCGCTTTCTCGGGTCTTGAATCCTGCACTTTTTTGTCCTTTCTCTTCAGTAAGGTCTTTACATTCACTTTAACTCTCAGTAACCCCTGGCGTGATAGTGGCAACTAATACAATAGTAATATTTTGATCTCAATTTAGATTTATTGCTTTACTTTTAATGAAAGCATTTATATGAGAAGTAAGATTTTTATCTCATATTTGTACACTAACTTCGGATAAAATTTGAAATCGTCTGTATATTTGCGATTTTGTCTTACCAGTACAGCTCCTTGCGATAGGGCTAAAATAAACCCAATAAACACGTTTTCTATCTAAGACCTATATTATTTCTGTTCCAATTTTATTGAACGCTGCGCTATATTCGTAGTTTGTATCTGTGACTAAGTCGTACATTCCAATTTCTTCAAATGTAAAGCAGACATCAAAATCCATAGATGTAAAAAAATAACGATATATACCTTCCGAAAGCTAAAGTAAAAGGCGGTGAGGAGCATGAACAGTTCGCTTATCCTCATTTAAAAAGGAGTAAATGTTTCTCTCTTGTTTCCTGTCTAGGATTGGGTTTCCGGTTCCTTTTAAATTCTACTTCAAATCTATACTTCTAACATTTTCAGCCTAAACAATGACATATTTTCTGGGTTTATTTTATCTTGTATTCCACAATAAGTGCGGATTGTGGAATAAAAGATAAAAAAATTCGACAGTAAGTGTAGATATGTGAGCCACGGTGGACTTTTAGATCGCGGCTCGGAGTGAAGAATCGGAGTGCTAATTTCGAATTCCATTCAGATTCTTTGAATTCACTTACGTGATACCATTGGGAAAGGTATGAATCCTCTTCTTATCCCTCAGCTATGGATATATATATCAGGATAGACAGGGTTTTATAACTTGGGTGGCAAACGGACTAGGAAAAAGAAAAACTTTTTAGTCAAAGCCTTTCTGGAGAGGATTGGGTTCCGTCAGGCTATCTTGCCGAAAAAAAACATCACTTCGACTGTGGCTGCATACTCATGATGCCCCTACGGGTCACGGAATAAATTTTTTTTAAAAAAAGATAGGTTTATCCATTGTCTAGTTCATACTTCTCCCCGGTCTTTCGAATAAGGGTAGAGGTTTTTCTCTTTTTTCCTGTCTAGAATTTAGTTTCCGGTTCCTACTAATGTCTTCTTTATTTCTATATTTCTATCATCTCAGGCTAAACACTAAAAGATTATTTTTTTGTGATCTTTTATTCCACTGTAATGTAGATAAGTTCATATATTAACTAGTCCATACCTCTGCTCAGTCATGTCGTTACCCCCTCCCCCTAACAGGAGTAGAGCCTTATCCCTTGTTTCCTGTTTAGGATTGGGTTTCCGGTTCTCGTCAAATTTCTCTCGCCTGAACTCTGAATTTTATTCTATACTTGTTATATTTTCTTTTCCAATAGAAATAGATAGGCTTGCCTAACGTCCTTTTCTAATTCTCCCCGTTTTTTAGAAATGGGGTAGATGTTTATCTCTTGTTTCCTGTATAGGATTGGGTTTTCCGGTCCCTTCAAATCTGTCCCGCCTGAACTCTGAATTTTATTAGGCTTACCTAACGCCCGGCTCTCATTCGCCCCGGTTTTTTGAACAGAAGTAGAAGTTTATCCTTTGTTTCCTTTTTAGGATTGCCGTTTCCGGTTCCTTCTGATGTATTTTCCTTCTCTTTCCCGTTCTGTAGCAACCTGCCTCTCTGCGGCGTCATCGCCTTGCTTGCGGGTGAAGAAAGAAAATATATAGAAATATTTCAGGCTTCGGGTTTCTCTGTCGCATGTACCGTCCTCTGCTAAAAGACTTTCTAGATATATAATTTTTGCATTTTTTTTAACTTTTGGTCTCCCCAATTTGTAATTTGCATTCTTGCTTGTTTCTTTTGATGACAATTATAAATTCTGTCTTCTTAGATTTCATGGTTAAGCATTTCTTCCCGTTTTCCTATATGTCATTCCGTAGGCTTTTTCGTAGTTTCCTTTCTCTGTCCGCTATCAACACCATGTAACATGCAATGTTAAGATTGTGTCCAACAGTAATGAATCCTAGCAGGACATCTAATTTGTCTCAGGATAAAACTAATAAGTAAATGAGCTGTAAGTATAACTCACTTATCAGATGTTGTGTTTAGTAATCTGAAATATAGCAAGAGAACCTAAATTCAGTCTGCAAATAATAGATGTATATCATGATAAAAAAGGAAGATAAGAACATCTGATGAGAAAAGTAATTCAAACTGAATTTTCTTTTATGGCTTTCATTTTCGCTTTTACTTCAATATAGCATTTCGACTCAAAAGAATTTCGCAACAGAAAATAAAATGTAATCCTCTTGTTCTGCTGATATAACCGCTGTTCGAAATAATTCTAAATTCACTATTTACATTATTCGGACTATTGTCCTCATCTTTGCCGCCATATTTATTACAATGTTTCGGCCAGGTGGTTGGAATGTCAAACTGAACCCTTTATTTTGCTCACTGGAGTAGACTGTTCTAGGGGAATTAACAGGAGATAACTGATAACTGACATCCATTAAACATGGTATAGAATAGTCTACGCCAGTGAGCGAAATAAAGGGTTCAGTTCGACATTCCAAACACTTGAAGAAGGCCGGAGCGTACAACGGCCGAAACGTTGTAATAGATATGGCGACAAAGATGCGGATAATAGTCCGAATAATGTAAATATTGTATATAATACCTCATCTATGAAATGTATACAGAATTCTAAATTCGGATAAAAACACACACACACACACACATATATATATATATATATATAACAATAATTTTAACAGTGACACATTAATAATACCTGTTTATATAAATCCAAAATATTTCCAGACAGTCTTTCCTGAATAATTTTTCTGACATATGTGTGGATAGCTACACAAAAATGCAATTATCATATTTCTTACTTAAATCATTTTCAAGGGGACTGTGGTGTATCATTATTATTTCGTCATAAATACCTTAAAAAACAAAAATGTGGTCTTAGAAAACGATCTTGTGAATAGTATGGACAGAATATTTGATCAACGACGAATTTTTAGAAAATAATAGTTTTCTTTTTTTTTCTGATGAATCTTAATTCTTCAGTTAATGATTGAATAAGTTAATGGCGATAATATGTCAATAAAATATCCGTAGAAATTCCCCTATGACATCGTTAAATATTTGAACTCAACAAATTTTAAAAAAATATTAAATAACAATCATAAATATGAATGCTGCTCGTTAAGAAGTGGGCAGAAATGAATATATATGAAACTTTTTTCCATTTCATTGAAACAGATGTTTAAGGCTTCTATATTTTATTCTTTTTCATTGAAACCATCTAGCGTTTGCATTTTGTTTTTCTACGCAACCAAAACAAAAAACATTATTCATTATTTATAGGGCACTGACAGGAGATGGTAAACACTGTTGTCTTCTCTTCTTTGTTTGTTTATTTCTTTCTTTCATTTTTGTATCTTTCTTCTTTCTCTTTTCTTTTTTCCGTCTTTCTTTTTTTCTTCCTTCATTCATTCATTTTTTTCACTTAAACCAAAACATAATACTACTTGTAACGGCATTCACCAGGTGTGGGTTGAGCCGGCTCCAATTTTGGAGTTTCATGGGAATTTGGAATTCACAAGCGGTCCCCAAACCCGCACATGAGATTTGATTATAATGGTGAAGGTTTCGTGCAGGACCATCCACACTTTTTGAAGGACCGATTACAGAGACCTGGTGAACTACGTACCACAAGATCCCCAAAAGACCCTCCGCAGGTTTTGAATTCAGAGTTTTCCTTCTCCTAGACCTGTTGCCATCCAAGGCTATAGAACCCAGTCTGCCCTGCTATTTACCCATAGCTGGAGAGAGAAGAAGAGGATTCACAAGGATTCGCATTAGCACCTAAGTGAATGTAATGGATTCGACTGGAATTCGAACTCGGCTCTCCGATTCCTCAATCCAAGCCGCTATCCATTACTCCACCGTGCCTCCATGCTCCACCGTGCCTCCATACTCCACCGTGCCTCCAAAACGGAATAGCACATTATTTATGAGATATTGGCAGGATACGGGCAATTCCTTTTCTTTTCTTTTATTCTTTCTGTCTCTCTTCCACTCTTTCTTTCTCTTTTTATTTTTTCTCTTTCTTCCATTCTTTCTTTTTATTCTTCTATCTTTCCCGCTTTCTTTCTTTCTTTCTTTCTTTCTTTCTTTGTTTCTTTCTTTCTTTCACTGTTCTTTCTTTCTTTTTTCTCCTTTTTTCCTTTCTTTTCTTTCATTTTTCTCCTTCTTTTTTTTCTTTTCATTTTTCTTTTTTCTTTCTTTCTTTTCAGTTTCTTTCTTTTTTCTTTCTTTCTTTCTTTTTTCTCTTTCTTTCTTTCTTTCTTTCACTCTTCTTTCATTTTCTCCTTTCTTTCTGTCATTACATTTTTCTTTTATCTTTCTTTTTTCTTTCTTTCTTTCCTTTCACTATTATTTCTTTTTTCTTTTTTTCTCTTTCTTTCTTTCTTTTCAGTTATCTTTTTTCTTTCTTTCTTTCTTTCTTTTTTCTTTCTTTCTTACCCTCATTTAACTTTTCTTTCTTTTTTTCTTTTTTCTCCTTCTTTCTTGCTTTCTTTCTTTCTTTCATAATTGATTTCGTAGCGAGAAGACAGGCGAAGACAAGAGAAACAAATGTCCTCTTGGGCAGAATATTTGACAGGGAGAAAGCAATAACTGTTTCGAGAAGTCTGAACATTACAACAATTTTTTACTTGTTTGTTCTTAAAACTAACTTCCGTTTTCTTATACCATCTGAAACCTTGAAGATAGAATTAACGTCTTGATTTCCCCTTCAGACAGTTACCATTCATCGTTTTAGGGAGAAATCTAAAGAAAGGTACTACCTTATCGAAATCAATACTTCACATTCAAATGGGATTTTCGTAAAGAAACCCAACAAATCGTTCATGAATTGAAATAACTTTCCAAATAATGGTTCTATCACATTAAAGTTTAATCATTGTATCGGGAAAGATTAATGTATAATGTCTAAACCATGATGTTGTTGGGGTGTATAGTTTTATTCACAAGAGATTGCATAGTGTAATCGAAAGAAATATTCTAGTTTATGAGGTTGGTCCGACTATGAAACGCTAAGTGTTCAGCTGTGAAATTTTCCGTGCATTAATTTGAACATCAAATTATTAATAACAATTCTTCAGTATCTGTCTATGTTTGTAAGATGAGGTATTATGTACACTATTTACATTATTCGGACTATTGTCCTCATCTTTGTCGCCATATTTATTACAAAGTTTCGGCCGTGGTACCCTCCGGCCTTCTTCAAGTGGTTGGAATGTCGAACTGAACCCTTTATTTCGTTCAATAGGGTAGACTGTTCTAGTTCCACGGGTCATGTTTAATGGATGTCATTTATCAGTTATCTCCTGTTAATTACCCTCTCCGAGTTATCCAACGTGTTAACCATGTATTGAACTCACACTTTTCGGGGTCCTCTCACTGGATCTAACTAACGCCTTTATAAATAACAATTCTTCTTTCCAGGTAAACTGATGCCTCACTATTCAAAGTAAGACCTCAAAAGTAACTAGTAACAGCATCTTTTGGAAACGGACAAATTTTGGCGTTATGCTGTTAAACGGTACCTACAGAAAAAAAAGGGTCTAGCTGCTAAGGACCTTGATGCTGACACTGTTGCTAAATCAGGAGCTTTATCCAGGGGAAACTGAATTCAGGAGAGGAAAGTAAAGTCTTGAATATGTCCCATAGTCTAGACGTTCTTCTGTTGTCATTACCGAAAAAAAACATTGATCGTGTCCACCATAGTGATGGATGACAGGCAAATAACTATAAATCATACAGTCAATTTACATTATTTACATCGTTCAAACTGTTGTCCTCATCTTTATTGCAATATTCACCTTCAACTTCTGTCTATATTTCTGAGATGAGATATTGTAATTATTTGCACTATTTACATTGTTCGGACTGTTGTCCTCATCTTTATTGCAATATTCACCTTCAACTTCTATCTATATTTCTGAGATGAGGTACTGTAATTATATACATTACTTACATTGTTCGGACTGCTGCAATCATCTTTATTGCAATATGGTGTAATGAATATGCATGCACCTGGGTTACCCCTCACAGTAATATGATTGGCTGGTGTCAGCCATAAATAGAGACTGATGTGGAGGTACAGGACTACGCCTATTGTCTTCAGCTATTGCCTACGCCTATTGCCTACCACTATGACGCGGACCAGTCCATTATGCCGACCTGCTAGATTGTCCTAACCAGTTAGGGTAGCACAAAACCACTTTGCTACTTCGAACAAATATATCCCTTTCAGGGACATATCATCATATTTACGACGTCTTGGCCGTTGCAAGCTCTGCCCTTCTTCATGTGATTGGAGTTTCGAACTGAACTCTTTTTATCCACCTGGGTAGATTGTTCTATTTCCGCCTGCATTGACTCTTCCAGATGTTTCAATTATATTCTTTTTAAATCAACTCTCCAAGTTTTGTTCACAACCACAGTTACCAGGTATTGAACTCACAACTCTTTTGGTCCCGTCACTGGATCCAACCAAAGTTTTTATCCACTAAGCCTTGTGTCCTTGAGGACAAAATAAAGGGTTTGGTTCGAAATTCCAATCACCTGAAGAAGTACAGAGGATAAAAGCATTGGCTGGATACAGTGACTGAGACATTCAGAAGAGGCACGGCACGTGGAACTATAACAGTCTACCCCGATGGACGAAATAAAGGTTTGAGTTCGAAATCGCAATCACCTGAAGAAGGCTGTAGCGTATAACGACCGAAACATCGTGAATATGGGGATTATCATCAAGAGAGAAATCCTAAACCATCGTCACGCACTGTAGATTGTGGCAGTTAATTGTCAATTTTTTCGCTTCCGTTTTTCGATGATGTTGAACAAAAAAAAAGTACTGGATCTGTGTTTGACAAGCCATTTAAATATCGCATTCGGTAACAGTGGAAGGAGTTGATATTTAGCGGGGGAAAGTCATTCAGGCTATCGGAATAGCCCACAGAAACCACACCCACTCATGTGGCATTGTAGATTGTGGCAGTTAATTGACAATATCTCCCCACCGTTTTTCATTAGAATTTGAGTTAAAAGAAAGTATAAGCGTAATAGATATGTTTAATAAATTCAATATATTTTAAAATACGGTTTTTTAGACGTGGGGGTGGAATTTGTACGGCAAATACAGAATGAAACCTACATTTTAACATGAAAAAATGGGAGTCGTCATCTACGTCCAATCGTCTTGTACGCCAGCATAGACGATATTTGGATTGGGCGTCTCGGCGTGGTGCAATGGTTAGCAAGCTGGTCTTGCTAAAATTATTTACAACTGAATAGTGAGTTCGATCCTCACTGGGTGCGCCATATTTTCGGCCATGTGCCACATCTAAGCCTCGCTTAGAAAATCAATATGGGCACCTCGACGTGGTGTAATGGTTAGAAAGCTTGTCGTGCTAGATCAATTACGACTGAGTAGTGAGTTCGATCCTCACTGGGTTCCCCATACTTTCCTTGTGTCACATCTAAGCCGGGCTTAAAGAATCACTATACGGTAGTTGGATTGGTCCTCAATCGGAGACAGTGTGAGCGGAACGGTTTACCCGACATGAAGGTATATCACACTGAAAGGTTATTTAATACTTTCATCAAAGCCTCTCATAATACAGCACAGAGTTGTGTATGGCTGATCAGTTTGGGTAGCATAAAGGCTATACCAAGCTTCATTTATTTGGACCCAATCATTAATTCGTTGGTACTCTTCTTAGTCAATAAATACTACTGCTGTTGCTAATAATAATAATAATTATTATTAGAAATATAACTTCACTATTTGAATTTTGATAAAAATTCTAATTAATATTAAGTTAATGATTAAATATGCCAGGTGTCAGTTCCACGACTTATTAGTATCTGAGATTAACCTCTTTAACAAAACATTGCAAAGCAATTATAGATATGGATGCTGGCCATGGGCACCTCGAGTCGGTGTAATGGTTAGCAAGCTTGTCTAGTTAAAACAATTACGACCGAGTAGTGAGTTCGATCCTCGCTGGGGGCCCCATACTTTCTGTCTTTTGCCACATCTAAGCTACACTTGGAAAATCATTATGAATGCTGGACATTGCATAAAGAAGTAAGAGGGTTACAAACGAAAATAGATTTTAATTTCACTAAAGCAGACGTTAAACACATGAATGTCTTATTGATTTCTTTATTTTCCCTTTATATCTTTTTTTCTTTCTATAAGAAGAAGAATTTACAATTCGTTATGATACGGTGGGATAATAAATGCATTGGAGAATCTGCATCTTTCATTGGAAAGAAACTGCATGAAGTGAATACCAATCAAACCCAGTTATAGATATTGAAACTGTAACAATTATATTGAAATTTACAATAAACGCAGATAGAGAAATAAAAGTAATAGCCGCCCAGAGATCGTGATTACAGACAAGAAACGCAGAATGCATTTTCTTATTGACATAGCGGTTTCTACAGACGGTAATATATCTTTAAAAATAACTAGCAAAATACAAATAATTTAAAGAGAAAAATTTGGTACAAGAAGTCAATATTTCCGGTTGTGGCCCCTGGGTTGATTAGGAAACGTAGTGGAATATTCATTGAAGGTATCTCTGGCAGCCGATGCTTTAAAGAAATATAAAAAATATGTAGAAGAAATTATGACGCCGTTACGGAACATAGGAAGCCGAAAGGAAATGAATACTGAAGGAAAATGCAAAGAAATAACTGTATCCTTCAGTATGTACGTTTTCAAGTGAAAATTAATCTAAGATTGGCATCAATAATGCATCTATGATTTAAGGCGATTTCAGGCTTTTGTGGAAAAAAATGCATTTTTTTATGTCAACCACGCCTATTACTAGACCTAGTTTTCTATGGAACAAATCTCTAAGTTTGTGACATATAGTACCATTCTAATTTATACAGTAATAATGCAAGAATTACGAGTTAATTTAATTCACCCATTAAAATGATATCTGCTTTCCCCAAAACATGACGGTAAGCATTCATTGTCTCTTGGTAGAAAACCAGAGTTTATATCGGCTTTGCATAATTTAAAATTAATATATTTTATTTTAGATATGTATAATTATAACCGGATCTTTAAAAATCGTGACAAAGAAAAAAACATCAGCGTTTAAATAACCAGTAATATCAGTCATCACATATGATGGTGAATGCTGGACAATTTCCTCCAAGATTAAGAGAATACTGGTGGAAACAGATATGCGATTCTAAAGAAGTAATCTGTGAATTCCATAGACGGGATACATAATGAACTAAGGAGTCTTAAGTAAAATGGAAACGTGACGTCGCCTCCCTCTGTCTTTTGTACAAATACTTTCATGGTAACTGCTGCGATGAGCTGCTTTTGCTGATTCCCAGACATCATGAATTTAAGCGTTCAACTAGACTGGCATCTCGCTCTCACCCTTTCACTGTCTAAACTGTTAAATGTTACCGTCTCTTCTATCCTGTTTCCCTGATAGCTATAATCTCCAACTATTCAAATGTAATGTCAATCGACGTCTCCAGATGCCTTG